GATTGAGCTGAATGCCCTTGTAGAAATAATTGCATTACTTCTTTCTGTAGCACCAGTTGACGGAGGCAAGTATGAATCACTTATTTTTTCCTATTCATTTTGTAGTAGGCTACGTTCCGGTTTTACTTGAAAGATCGATATGGAAGGAATATTGGAAAGTTTGGTTATATGGTTGCCATCTCCACCAAAACTGAGGCCATGTTTATTTGTTATACACTTCTATTTTTGTGTTAAACTTTGCAGATACCCTAATGAAGGAAATGGATAAAAGAGAAATTTTTTCGAAGCAATTCAGAAAAGTATCACTTTAGAAAGCGTAGTTAATTGATAATGCTCTCAGCGTTTATCACTCCAAACTAATCGATCAGCCCAAAATGATCGAATGAATTTTGCAGATTGTTCCATCGAGGGGAAGTTATATATGTATACTGTTTGGGAGGTATATTTATAGAAACTCCATTGGGGGGAGGACATCCATCACACAGTAATCTCGTGCGTGGGAAGTTAACTTCTCCTGCCCCTAACCCTGCAGGAGACGGGACCTCCATTTATTCGTCCCTATCCGAGAAGACTAGAATATCTAACCATTTCTTGATGATATAGAAAGGCAGCAAACTCTTCTCAATTATTTTAAGACTCTGAGTGTTGGTCCAAACTAGCAACTATCTATCTATCCATCTACATGAATGATGAATGCAGCTGTGACAGATGTCAACTCACAAATATATTCCGAGAGGTAGTTCGCTCCTTGCAAGTCCCAACAACACCCAAAATTCCTGTGACGCCCACCTAGAAATAAGCAGAAATGAGAGAAAGTAGAATTATATAGGAAAAACCTATCAAATTTAATAAGATAATTTGGTTTTATCAACTGAGTTGATAATTTAAATTAGTGTATACTGAAACAGTGGATAGAGTAGAAGGCGCGCTCTGATTGGCTGGTCAAACTCCGAATATCCTTTGCTATTTACCTCTGAGCAACTCGGGAAAAAAATGCCGTCCCGGTTTGCATCCGTGAAAAGCGAAGTCCATGAAAACACAAAGAAAGCTACTAAATTTCGTTTGGCCGTCTTTAAAGGTAATGGTTTAAGTTTTTAACCCGGAGTTTATCGATAAAAAGCAATGAGAAAGGTTTTGTTTACAAATGCAAATTAACCTTGCGTAACCTCAGTCTTTTCCGCGCGTAAAAATGTTGGAATCACTGCTGGAATGTATGAATTGAAATCAATTTTTGGTGGTGTATATTGTGTCACTGTTTTAGTATATACTAAAACAACTATTCACCTCAGTGTTCTAGATTTGCCATTCACCTTTCTCTCTTCTGTATAGTTTTAGATATGCTTTTACTTATCAGATTATTGGACTTTGAATCTGTTCAGATTTTACTCCGTTATTTATAGTTTTCCAGACGCTTTGACAAAAAAAAAAGGAGTACTGATGTGAGCCGAAAGTGAGTTAATTTGGATCGTTTTTTACGCTGTTAACATTTTGTATTGTAGAGGATTTTATGGAAATTATCGCTAAATTAAAAATTATTATTATTCACCTCACTGTCGGTGGTTAGCGGTGGATATTTACCGACCTTTCAGTGAATAGTAGTTAATTATAAAGTTGTTACACTCCTCCGCTGACGCAGCACCACAGTTTCTTTGGAAGCTTACCACCGTTATTCATTTGCCAAATTTAATTTCGGGAGTGAAAGGATGAAACTCTATTTCGTATAAAGGCTGATAGTTTCGAAAGAAACTGTTTGGGGCTGCGTCGGTGGGAGTAACGAAATAATTTGGATATATCAACAAAGTTGAAATGGTAAATTGGCCACCGTAATGATTACAAAAGCTGACGTTTCGAGCGTTAGCCCTTCGTCGGAGCGAATAGAGGAATTGGTTTAATCCCTATATATATATATATATATATATATATATATATAGTTAAGTGTACGATAAGGACGTAACGAAGAGACCAACTCTTGACTGTTCTGGACGAGTTTAATGCACATATATATTTATATTTATATCTATACTTGCATGATGAATGCAGCTGTGACAGATGTCAACTTACAAATATATATCGAGAGGTAGTTTGCGCCTCGGAAGTACCAACAACACCCAAAATTCCTGTGACGCCCACCTAGAGATAAACAGAAAACATCATCAAGTAAACGGGTAGTGCGAAAAAGTAGAATTACCCTGGTTTTATTAACTAAGTTGATCATTCAAATTGGTCACCGTGAAGGGTTTCCAAATCTGACGTTTACCGCTGGCCAATTTGCATTATTAGTTGTTTGATCAAATGATCATATTACATTTCCCCGCCGACGCAGCATCACAGTTTATTTGGAAGCTTACCCCTTTTATTAATTTGTCAAATTTAATGTCGAGAGGGAGAGGATGAAACTATTTCCCCGCCGACGCAGCATCACAGTTTATTTGGAAGCTTACCCCTTCTATTAATTTGTCAAATTTAATGTCGAGAGGGAGAGGATGAAACTATTTTGTATAATTTCCGTATTGAGTGACCAGTACCTTAAAATTCATTTAGCCTAAAAGCACAGATCTGAAAAAGGTCAAAATTAGCGCTGCAAAACGGTTTATTGAAGGGGTTTATTTACCAAATAAGTCATGCGTGAAATTAATTATTCGACTGCTAATTACGTGTAGTCCATATTTATCCTCGTTGACTATAGAAGGTAGACTGTGTTTAATGCCTAAGTCCGTAAATTACACCTATTCCATAGTCGAAGGTCCGAAACCAACAGACCATATTTTATTCTGAGCCACATAAGCAGGGAAGTTTACACGTGAGAGCTGTGAAATTTGCTCTTTACGTGCATTAAAATACTTGACGATCTATCGCAATTCCAACTTGATGTTAAGATAAAAGAAATTTGGATTTTAATTATCTCCGCACCGGATTAAACTGAAAATATCAGTGAAAAAAGAAGTTGATGTTAGCATGCTGCGGGAAACTCTTGAAGAGACACGCCGATGCGAAAAGGAGGGACTGCTCACAGTCTACACTGATGGCAAAACTAGGGACTTTAAGCAAACCACAACGGCTACGGCAACGAGAGCGTGGAAAAACAATAGATTTAATCTGCAGAACAATAGCCTAGCATGTGTGTTTTGAAACTTTGTACATTTCTTAGCCGTCCTTTGCGAAACAACAACGTGAAATCACCAAAATTTGCGTTGTCTGCGAAGCGAGACCGCGGCGGCAAATAATTTTNNNNTCCCGTACAGGCCTGAAATTTTTTTCAGGTCTGATTTTCACTATTGCTCAAATAGTGCTTTACTGCGAAGGATCGTTCTCATATACGTCTCATAACCGCAGTTCACACATATGTTTCATATGTTTGTTGTTGTTTGATTTATCATCTACGGGTTTATATCGAATTAATTTGATGGCCTGCTCCCAGTTGGCTTGTTAGCTCAATTGGTAGAGCGCTGCACTAGTATCGCAGAGGTCAGTGGTTCGAGTCCCGTACAGGCCTGAAATTTTTTTCAGGTCTGATTTTCACTATTGCTCAAATAGTGCTTTACTGCGAAGGATCGTTCTCATATACGTCTCATAACCGCAGTTCACACATATGTTTCATATGTTTGTTGTTGTTTGATTTATCATCTACGGGTTTATATCGAATTAATTTGATGGCCTGCTCCCAGTTGGCTTGTTAGCTCAATTGGTAGAGCGCTGCACTAGTATCGCAGAGGTCAGTGGTTCGAGTCCCGTACAGGCCTGAAATTTTTTTCAGGTCTGATTTTCACTATTGCTCAAATAGTGCTTTACTGCGAAGGATCGTTCTCATATACGTTTATGCGTTATGTTGAGTTTGAGATCTGGCGCCCTATGAGACGGTAAACACATGCAGCCATTTTCAAAATTCTAACTAAAAGTAGAAACTCATTTATTAATCGATGTCTTCCGTGCCGTTGCCGTCCTGACTGCTTAAAGTCCCTACTACCAAATGATGACTGAAACCTTCCCATCGATCTATACAAAGTTCCGAAAACTATATCAGAGCAGTACATAATGCGCAAACTGAGTCACGTTAGGCAAATATATGAATAAGTAACCAGTTATTTAAACGGCGTTTGATAGAAGTCACTTTTTTACACACAACTCACCCAAATACCGATCCAAATTCCAAAACAGAAATAGCCAGTATAAAATTCAACAGTAACATAATCTGCGATACCAAAACAGACGAGGACAAAGCCAAGAAAAAGGTGTGCTATGGCGAGAAATCTCCCCACGGTCGTTGCTTGTGTTGAGTAGTCCGCCATCGTTTGTTTGGCAGTTTAACTCTCCAGACGAATTTGAGCTCATTTACATGTTACCTATCAAGGGATGTCAGTTTATGACGTACACGTCATGCGCGCTAATTCAAAATAAAAGCCTGTTCTTTCTAAGAGACTGAAGAAAGAAAAAGAACAAAGAAATAAAAGCCGTCTGATTAGAAAGAGCAATTCAATTTGTGAACCGGTGTAAAAACTCAATGCGAAAGGCAAGAGTTTTCATCTTCAACAAAGACGAAGATTTTTTCCATCAGAGTCGTCTTTCTCCTAACTTCTGTCCTCTACCTCTCATTCAAATCAGATCTCTTTGTCGTATTGTTTTGTGGTTCCTTTGCGGTTTTCATAGGGTCACTAATAATAATAATAACTAGCCTAAACAAGGTCAGATCGCACATGTTCTTTTCTTTCTTCATTAATGCTGAGAAAATTGTCGACTTTCAAAACAAAACTCTTGTTTACCGTGCCTTTGAAGAATATTTCATGATAAGCGTGTGCACAGCGAGGTATTAACGCAAGCAGGAAGAGCACATACCATAGATAATATAATAGGGACCTTCAGCAGTTAAGAGTGCTTAACTTGCTTCTTAATTCTTCGACACTTCGATATACGCACAGCTAAAAGCAATTATTTCATGATGTGTGTTAACATCTTCTGGGAAAAATTTTTTTTCTTTTTTGTGATCGGCTACAATGTTCTTACTGTACTCGGCTGAGAAAAACTGAGGAGTTTAATGAAAGGACAAAATCTCCATGATGATCTCCTTCAAGCAAGAATGCTCCAACAGGATTATCAAGAGATTGCCAATGAGAATTCGTCTCTTTGAAATTCACGGAATACGTAGACAAACAAAATTAAAATATTCAAGTTTTGTTTGTTCGATTCAATTCGAAACCCGAAGAAGAATTTCGATTCTTCAAATTTTTTTAAAATAAAAGGCATGTAAAATTGTTGCAAAGTTTAGCTTATTTCTGAAAACGTGTTGTTATGTAGGCAAGGCTGTGCATGTTTATTTCAATCCGAGAGAAACCGCTTTTGAAAGCTTAGATTTGATACAATTTGGAGCGATAGCTTAAGATTATCATATTTTTTTATTGGTAGCTTGTTATTGAAAATAGAGAGCGATTTCTTGCCAGCATCTAATAAGGATATTTCAAAAAAGTGACTTTTTTATTGGTAGCTTGTTGTTGAAAATGGAGGGCGATTTCCCGTCAGCATTTAATAAGGATAATATTATCAAAAAGCGATTTGCTATTTATTTCCACTATTCTTTTCGTAACGATTTGGGGATTTAAAGTTAATTTAGGTATCGCCATCGTGGTTTACTTAACGACGGTAACGGCAACGCGGACGCGGCAAAACTAGAGATCTAATTATCAGAGCATTAGCTGAGCACGTGCAATTTAAACTTTGTACATTTCTCATTCTTCCTCTGCAAAACAACAGCGTTCGAAAACGCGCGCGGAATAAGAGAGTTAGAACAAAACAAAACAAAAAACCTCTTTATGAAGAGCAGAAACAATGGTCAGCATAGTTAGTATAAATACTAAGATAAACGCAAGGAAGCAGGAGGCCAGCAGAAGAAGCAAATTTGATTTAACTAGTCATTGTTCAATGATTTGTTTATAAGACTGTTTGTTTTGATCAGGTAAATTATCCATGGATTGGCTCAACCGTTTTAGGGTGAACCTGGGTATTTCCCATAACACGTAGAGGGAAAATTTGAGGCTGGTGCTCCTGAACCGTTGAGCGGAATGCTCCAACATCAGTGGTTCTTTCGAGTTCTCTTTCCAAAGGAACAGATACGAGAACTTCTTCCCTTCCGTTAGCCTTGTCGAACCCGGGGTTGTCGTTAAAAGGCAGATGTTGACCTCGCAGCTGAAACAAGGAAGAGGAACAATTTTTATATTGAGTCTTAAGCTAAAATGGATACCGGTTTTGTTTAAGTATCTATCATTATACAGAATTAATAGCGATGTATGTTTTCCTCTCAAGTGTATATGTCTCCTTTTTTGAGCATAAAATATTTACTTTTTAGTTAGTGTGGAGTAACTCTCAGGGGCTGATCCAGGAATTTTTGATTGAAGGCGGGGGGGGGTCCAAACTTTGGTTCAAAAAGGACTGTTGGACTCTTTTGAGGCAAATTACTTATCCCCAACACCCCCCTCCCCTGCCAGTCGCGGTTGCACGTTATAATTCCTTGACCGTTTACCGTTTACTTGGATTCATTAATTAAAAAAATCAGCCAGTTAAAAAGTGATATACGATCCTGTCGATGTAAGACTTCCAGTCTCAAGCTGTAAGCGTCAGGTCTGATAGGGGAGGGGTCCGGACCCTCCGGACCTCCCCCCCTGGATCTGCCACTGACTCTTAACTTTTTCACAATTTACCACTCGTTATCTGCCATACCCAACGTGAACGACCAGTTTCCAATATGTACCTACTGGGTATTTCAAAACAATCAATCTCTAGCTCTGCGTGTGTATTTAAAGATAGTTATTGGTAAACGAAGGCTAGTTCACACGTACATGTCATTCTGAAATCAATTTAGCTTATGAAAGGATGCCACTCAAAGCTCACCGCTTCCTCCATAAGTGGTGTCTCGTCTACCACAGTGAGGCAGCTGTGAATTCCGGCCCATAATCCGATGATAAACTCAACAACACCTAAAACTGTTATGGCTCCGGCGATGGCAACTGGTAAAGGGAACAAAACGGCGATGAACCAGATCAGTGATAGGTATGTCCCGTAGGCGACAAGAATTGTCAAACCAAACAGAGAGGAAAAGATGGACAGGAAGATAAAGGCACCAATCTGAAAAAAAAAAAAATATATATTTGCTCGCAAATAGAATTTTTATGCCTTCTCTCTGATTATTTATTGATTATTTCACAATCAAGGGGGACTGGGTTTGGGTCAGGGGTCAATGGCCATTACGCTTGATCCCCTCTGAGGGTTTTTACAAGTCACATTAACTCCCTAGCCATGTGCTCATCACTCGCCTCGATTACTCGGAGTGAGAAGCTGTTTTTTGACTCCCTCCTCCTCCCCCTGATCCGCCCACTTTCTCTTGTTGTAAATTTAGTGTTGGTGCGTTTTTCTTGGCCCGCACCTTTACTGGGTAAACACCTTAACGGAATTCATTCTTGTTGTGTTTGCTTCAATAAAAGCGGCTACGGACCTATTGTCCATAGCCATATTGCTCCAACTTAAGTTTGTTATTTTTTGGTGCCCAGTAAACAGAGCTCAGGCAAGAGCAGCATTTGTAGATTGTTTTGGGCAGAGAGAGAAAGGCATAAAAACATATATCATTTCTATGCATCTGCCCCTAGATACATTCTTTGGGACACCAACAGCCTCCCCCTGCCCCTCTCAACGTCGGTATACAAGATGGCATAAAATCATTTGCAATTTACAACTGTGGAAAGGGGACGAAGGCGAAACCAAATTATTTCAAGTATCTACACTCCAAAATGACATTTGTTGGGACTCCTACAGCCTTCCCTTGCCCCATCTTAATATTGGTGTACAAGATGGCATAAAATCATTTGCAATTAACAACTGTAGAAAGGGGACCAGGGCGAAACAAAATTATTTCAAGCATCTACGCTCCCAAGCACATTTGTTGGGACAACTACAGCCTTCACCTGCCTCTCTTAATGTTGTTCTGCAAGATGGCATAAAATCATTTGCAATTAACAACTGTGGAAAGGGGACAAAGGCAAAACCAAATTATTTCAAGCATCTACACTCCAAACACATTTGTTGGGATACCTACAGCCTCCACGTGCCCCTTTTAATGTTGGTCTACAAGATGGCATAAAATCATTTCCAATTAGCAACTGTGGGAAGGGGACAAAGGCGAAAGAAAATTATTTCAAGCATCTACGCTCCCAAGCACATTTGTTGGGACAACTACAGCCTTCACCTGCCTCTCTTAAGATGGCATACAAACATTGGCAATTAACAACAGTGGGAGGGAGACAAGGGCGAAAGAACAATATAGAAGTTGTTCTAGAGAAGTGTATAAACTAAATTTGATTGGAAGTGTAAGTCTCGTGGAAGGAGAAACATAAAAAATAATAATCATACACGGCACAATGTCTTAATTTTTCGTTTCAAAATGTTGCAAGTCTTTAAGATCATTGACATTGAGTGCTGGATTTTATTTGTTGCATGATGACGTTTGAAAGAGGAGCGAATTATTTGCCCTGTGCATGCACATCAGCGTTTGAGAGAAGCAGTTTTCCTATTTTTTTTAGTTCCACTTTCAAGAGTTTAAGAGTTGCGCGCTAGAAGGAGAAACAATATATTTGTGTTTAACTTAAGTCAGATTTACAACAGTTTAAGAACTTGTGCTCATGAGAAACTGCTAAGCTGATGTACATGTATTTCGAAGACTTTGACTCGATTAGGATATTTATTTGTAGTCACTGAAATGCTTTAGTTCTGTAGCAAACTAATGATAACTTACACAAACTTTGTGGTCTCTTCGACTGACAAAAATGCCCACAATTCCTGTCACCAACATCTGCATAGAAACAAATTAATACCAAACAAGATAAGCGTCGTCACCAGTGCACCCGCAAAAACTAACCCAGCTCCACTCCATAACATAACGGTGGCAAATTATCATGGAGTAAATTCATTTTGTGTACCCGTTGGTGTTTTTATATCTGTTTTTCGAAGGTTTACTTGCAGTCGTACCTACATTTTTCTGCAAATACATATGCATGTAGTTTTATTATTATTGTATTTTTAAATCTGCAGGGACTGAGAGAAACGGTAAGGAACATGCTATTTAGGAAAAAAATTCACTAAATATGGATATTTCCCATGTCTCAAGTGCTAATACTATCCTGCGGCACATATGACCCAGATATAGAGTTTGCACATTAGCCTTAAACGGACGCGGAAGCATCTTTGGGAATCCAATATGTTGAATACGCAGTTTTATTTTTGACTGCGCATTCACATCTATTCCAAACAAAAAAAATAAAATTATCCTGGCTCTATCATATGCGTAAAGGTTGCTTTCATAGAAAACCTCTTGTCCTTTGCTTATGATCAACCCAAAATGTAAACATGAAGAAAAGCTAAGCTAACAGTATTTGTTACTTGTTGTTTACCGATTCGACCTCAACCTCAACTGATAAATGTAGTGTTGTTTGAGTTGCTGAGTTGTATGGTTTTCCAAATTAAGCACTTTAAGCCTAGCTTGTATGCAATGTGATTTTGAAAATAGCGATTACAACCTGTCAATACAAAATTTTAATTGCGCAGCAATACTCACCCAAATTCCGATCCAAACCCCAAAGTAGTAAGTTTTTCCTTTGGAAAGAAAGTATCTCAAGAAAACATTCGCTTTCGAAGTGACCCGAAGCTCTGCAATTCCAAAAATCGTCAGAAGGATGCCAAAGACAATGTGCGCAATGCCGAGATTTCTCATTAATCCGGAGCGACCTGCCATTTTGGCAAATGGGAAATGGGAACAACTAGGGTTTGAATCTCTGTCGTCAACATCAAAAAGAAATAATGAAGAGTATAAGTGCTTTTCCAATTCAATTTGCATAACGGGATGTGTAAGCATTGAGCCGAACTACAATTTTTAGCAACTCATTCGTCTCTCTAAGGACCTGTGTCATAGTTGGCGAATCTATCCTCGTTTAGACGAATTTTACAAAGTTTACAATTGCAACCCCATCCAAAGTTCACCATTGCTAACTATCCTTCTTCCTCCTGGATCATGGAATAGTTGTTAGAAAAAAATTAATTAAAAGAATTGAGGTATGGTCAATATTTGTCGGGTGATGGTTCAACGGTCGCAACAAAGGCCATAAAGACCCTGAAAAGAAAACCCAATCAACCGAAGAGGAAGAAACACTTACGATATTGTACGTGGTCAAAACACTTATTACTACTTAAAAATTTGATTGAAAAAAAAAACATCTAGGCATAAATATTTTGACAACAGAGCACTATCTACAATGGTAACTAAGGCGGGTCTGAATTGAGCCTCTTCGACTTTTTTTTTTTTTTTTCAATCTTTACAACATGTTTTCCTCGCAAGATTGAACCTACTAATTAATAAAAAAAGTCTACGAATTCGTAGTTGTATGATTAAGGATTAAATTAGAATCTTTTAAGGCTTGTTCAATGGAAGAAAAGTCGAGGTATTATGAAAATAGTTCTGGGCGACGTCCGGTTTCTAAGCAACAGCTAAGCCATCCCTCCCCTAGGTCATAGTCAGCTGATAACAAGTTACATATGCATTATTCACCGAGCTTGTTCGGTCAAGATAACTGGATATTGGCCGAGTTCTTTATTCAATTTTTTTGCGTTTTTATGGACTGCAAACAAAAAAGAAGAATAAGGCATTCTGCGTTGTGGGCCACCAGTGTCTAAAATCCTAAACTAGCCAATAATGTCCGAAATCAGTCGGTAATCGGCTGCAAAATATGCAAAACCAAAATTTGGACACTGGTCCAAATCAAAAATTGGCCAATTGTGTCCAAAATCGAAAATCGGCCATTTGAGTCAATGAAAGACTCCAGTAATTCTACTTTTAGATAAAAGAAAATTAACTCTGATTGTTTAAATTAAAAGAGCTGAGAATCTGAAATATTGTGTTTCTAGATGATTTAGCGGACAAAGTACGAATTTGTTATCTTTTTCGTGAATTTCATTGATAAGGTGGAAAGGTGTAAAAGGGCACCTTTGTTCCAAAAAATACTGTCGTTTCTTAGCTTTTGGTTAAAAGACATTTTGTCAAAAGCGCGAAAAAAGGTACCTTTTTTTTACATTAAGAAATTTTAGGGAAAGCGCGAAATAGGTAAGTAACCGTTTTGCAGTATCGAGAAATGGAGATTTGCCGTTTTTTTCTTACGAACTGTAAGAGCAATTAGCAAGTTATTCAAAATTAAATTACTTTTACCTTCTAAAAAAAAAAAGTTGATCATTATTATTATTACTAGATACGATGAATATATGAAGTTCATATATTTTGAACTGCGGTTATAGATACGTATGATGCACGATCCTCGCAGTAGAGAGCGCTATTTATGCAATAGCGAAAATCAGACCTGAAAAAAATCAGGCCTGTACGGGATTCGAACCACTTACCTCTGCGATACTAGTGCAGCGCTCTAACAATTGAGCTAACAAGCCAACTGGGAGCAGGTCGTTAAGTTGATTCGTAATAAACCCCTTCACACATATGTTTCATATGTTTGTTGTTGTTTGATTTATCATCTACGGGTTTATATCGAATTAATTTGATGGCCTGCTCCCAGTTGGCTTGTTAGCTCAATTGGTAGAGCGCTGCACTAGTATCGCAGAGGTCAGTGGTTCGAATCCCGTACAGGCCTGAAATTTTTTTCAGGTCTGATTTTCACTATTGCTCAAATAGTGCTTTACTGCGAAGGATCGTTCTCATATACGTCTCATAACCGCAGTTCACACATATGTTTCATATGTTTGTTGTTGTTTGATTTATCATCTACGGGTTTATATCGAATTAATTTGATGGCCTGCTCCCAGTTGGCTTGTTAGCTCAATTGGTAGAGCGCTGCACTAGTATCGCAGAGGTCAGTGGTTCGAATCCCGTACAGGCCTGACTTTTTCAGGTCTGAGTTTCGCTATTGCATAAATAGCGCTCTCTACTGCGAGGATCGTGCATCATACGTATTATTATTATTATTATTATTATTATTATTATTATTATCATCAATTAATTTTTTTCCAAAAATTTTAATATCATTGCGCTTTAGCATTTTTCAATTTCTTTTTTTTTTTTTTTTGCAATTAGTATTAGGTTTGTTGATGAATTTGAATTTTAGCAACGTTACTAGAAGACAGACAAACCATAACATGAGCGCAACATTTACTCTGAAAAACATGTCTTGAATGGAACATTCCATAATATCAATACGAAACAATGCTGGAAATGTCTATCATTTTTACTGAGGCGTAGGTTTAAGGTTAAAATTGAATGGGAACGCTTATCATCTAATTGTGACCGGTACGGCTCCGCACGCGATTTCTCATAGAAAACCATACTGAAAGAAAACATGTGTAGGGCCGGATGGGTCGACGAAAGCTGGTCCGGAAAAAGTTGTTCGGCCCTGCACTTGCGCGGTTTTGATGCAAAAACTTAGTGAAAAGAGACAAGGATTGAAATAAAAAAAGGTTCCGTTTTTCGATGAATTGCGATCTTCTCGTTTTTATTGTAAAATCTTTTTTTGTGGTTTTCCCGAGCGCGCCAATCTATTGCGCCCTATTTATTATAAATTAAATTTTCAAAACTAATACCCCATTCACACCAAAGCCTAAACATGCTTTAAAGCTGTTTTGTTAAACATGGTTTAACACAACAGCTCCATAGAAACCACTCAAATCAATATTTGGTTGACTTCAAATGTGGCACATTGAAAATACAATTTAGCAATTGCTTGAATCTTGTGGAAAATTTAGTTTTTCAGTTCTCTTCTTCTGATTTTTATTCAGTTAAACCTGGTTTAACTAAGCAAGTTTTCTGGTGTGAATGGGGTATTAGTCAGTGGTCACATGGTGAAATGTTTCATGACTGAGTTGGGTCGGTCCGGACAGAAAAACATTTGGCTCTCTTTAATGACGCACAGCCCTCGCTGCGTACGTCATGACATCGAGCCAAATATTTTCCCGTCGGGCCTTCCCACACAGTCAATAAGATTATAGTAATTGATGGCAAGTGGGCTTCCAGAAACCACAAGACTTCTTCCACCAATCATCTTATTGATTACTCATGTATTTAACTAGTGTTTACCTCACTAAAAGAAATTGTACCTCTTTTGTTCCCCTTATCTGAGATTAAAATTACTTCTTTTTGGCAAAACATTCTGGCTGAAATGTTTTCTTAAGATACAGTCGGAAATATCTCATTTGTACGATGTATATCGTCACATTAATGGCACTATTGGAATATCCTATTAATGCACTCCCAGAGCGAATAACAAAGTCGGTCTTGAAATCAAACCGTTGGTCTGACTTAGTAACGTTGTTATAAACAACCTGACCATAATAAAATAAATAAGGAAGAACAAAAGCCAAGGTAAGGGTTACGACGATAGTGGTACCTCGAATCGCCGCAGCTCTGCGGAATATTTTGAGGGCGTTGTCTCTTTGGATGTGTAATCTCCTTCCTCTTATATTTGCCCAGAGAGTTTTGATGAGTAAGGCGTTAATTATAACTGTTATACAACCTGGTATGATGTACTGGAGAGTTGTAAAACTTAAGAGCATGATTCTAAACGGAACATAGCTATCGTCATACCTGCAGACCAAAGTGTAATGGGTCTGGTTTAAATCGAACCTTATATCTTTGAAGGTCGAGGCAGGGATCAAGGTAAATAAAAACCCTGCCAACCAAGCAAACTTAACCATCTTTTTCACCGTGCGGTGGCTAGAATGACGGAAAATTCCTCGAGTTATCATGAACCTCTCGATGCTAAAGAATAACAAGTTATTCATGGTGATCGACGTGAATACAATGTTTAAGTAGCGCACTATGTTACAACTCCAGCCTTGATTGAATATATCAAAATACAACTGAATGCAGATGGGTGGAAGTGAGATTACGTCACAGAGAACATCAGAAATAGCAAGACTCTTGATGTAGACATCGCAGTTATTTTCAAACGACCAGGCTTTGGCAAATGGCGCTGTCTTGGCTTTGGACTTCAGAAAGCACAGCACAAGAACATTTCCCACAAATCCTATTACTCCCACAGACACCAACAAAACAAAAAGAGTCAGTCTTGTTGAAGAACCTAACGGTGCGTACATAAAAGTTTTTTCCGCGTATTCAGTCCCATTTCTTGGAGTAGAAGGTTCAGTCGGTGTGGATAACACTGTTTTGGAGATTTGCGACGTCAGATTTACGCATTGAGTATTGGCTGTCTGCATTAACAACAGCAACCTGCGCGGAAAAATTATTGATCAGATGGCTTTTGGAGTATCTTTATGGTAAAGCAACGGAGTGCGAGATGCTATCGTTAAAAGTTTGATTTCTCCTAACGGACTTTCTTTGCCTCACGGTCGTGACAAAGCAAATTACTCCTATGCTTTTGAAAAATTTTTAACTGAGTCAAAACAACAGCTACAAAACAAACAACAACAAAACAAACATAGGCACATACACACTCATTCATAGGAATGATTGGCTTCACATGCGATGGATGAAAACAAGGAACTCCATATAAACGATTGCCGCAAATTATAGAGGGAATGAGAACTTAGCAGTGGACTTTTTACGAGGTGGCTCTCGTTGTTAACTGTTTTCTAGTGGAATTAAAATTTGGAATACTGGAGGAAGAAGATCGGGTAGGACCCGGATAAAAAAAACGCTCTAAGCAAGAAAGAAATATTCCAAAACAAATATTAAATACTAAAAAAAATTAAACGAGCTGAGAGATGCGACTATCAAAGCTGATATTACTTACCCTGGTACATGAAACAAATTTATCCTCAGCATTTTTTTCCTCTCTGCTTAGACACTATATATATTTAGGTTGAGGCTTTCATAAATTCCTATCAAATGGTAAAAATCATTTTGATTAAAAACCAAGTACCGTAAATGCTCGAATTAGCGCCCAGCTTCAAATAAGCGCCCCGCTTTGAATTAGCGCCCCTCCTAATGTTCAAAATTTGTAATATGCGCTTCCCTTCAAATAAGCGCCCCCCCCCCCCCATCCCCCGAGAAAAAATTAGGGAAAGATTTCCGTATAACCCCATACTTCGTTATGCATTCCATTATTGGATAAAGGAAAGCAGAGGCAAAACAACAGATTTACTTCGGGACTACGGCTTTGTTTTTGATTGGTATGGGGTTATACGGAAATCTTTCCAAAATGAGCTTCGATACTCGGTACGATATACGAGACGTATACGGTCTATACGGTTCTTTTGATGATATTTGACATTGTTAAATAGTATAAACAGTAATGTCCTTTCAAAGTCGCACGGGTTTGCTTCTAATTTCCTTGATAGAGGTATCCATGTGAGCAGATAGCTGCTTCACTTTATTAAGTTCCTCGTAAAACTTTCCTCCCAATCGCCGGCTTCTTGTTACTGCCTCAAAAGCTCCTGGAAGTACGAGGCCATTTTAAGTTTTCTGCTTCCAGCGACTTCAACTACCACCTGATTATCTTCATGAGCTCGTAGAAATATAAAAAAGAGGAAGGAAAGTTCAATGGGTACATGTTTGGTTGTAAATAGACATAAACATGGTGTTATTTTGAGGCTAAAAATTGATAAACGAAATAAGCGCCCCCCTTCAAATTAGCGCCCCCTAAGCATTAGCGCCCCCCCCCCTCCCCCCTCTTGCCGTAGAAAATTAACTAAGCGCCCCGGGCGCTAGTTCGAGCATTTACAATACACTGCAATTGTAGATTAAATATGCGAATGAAATGGAATGGAACTACCTTCGGTAATCAAAAGGTACAAAACATTAAGTCTCTCAGTCCTTTCCGTAAGTATTTCTAGATACGACGGGGAAAGTATTCAGCTACGTTCTTAGGTTTTATCTTCTAGCCACCGTTATGCTTCTGGTTTGTGAAAGAAACCATCTGAATTGGCAAGGTGCAACTAGAATTAAAACAAGTGGTATGATGAGACACTGAAACGAGCCGTTTCGTGAATTAATCTTCAATCTTATTATTGCGAGTCAAACCTTGAAAGAGGAAATAACTACTGGTGCTCTTGTTGATATTAATTATTTATCTTTAATCTGAAAATTTACATGATACTTCACACAAAAACGACAACTGATTTTTACGTCTCTTGCTCGAACTTTTAAGAGCTCTCGCCTGCCTTTAAGCTCTTAAAAAACCGGGAGAATTATTTGGAAGGGTGACAATTTCATTTTTACGAGAGAATAGCGATTTCAAATCTATGACAAGTCAGATTTTTCTGTAATAAAACGACTGGTCCACTTACCGGAGGTCTCTTTGAAGGAAATGGAGATCCTTTTGTATAAAGGGGATGCTGGAAATTAATTCTACCGTATCAATGCAGTATAATATCGATAAAATTGTTAGTGTGTCCTGAATCCTCTATGTAGATGCTTGCGCTGAGTGATCTTGTGAAGGCTGACTTTTACCACAGATTTGTTTATAGCTTAACTTGAACTGCGTGTAAGAAGTGCCCTTGATTTGAAAGCGAGACTGAAACGGTTCCAGCTGTCTTAATCATTTTCAGGCCAAATGGTATTTTTATTTGCCCCCTGCTTTGAAAACTCAACCGGAATCCACTTATTGTGACCGGCATTCTGTCAAAGTTTTAGATAGAAGCGGTCCAGCGTCTACAGAGATGATTTGATCAAATCAAAACATCCTAATGAAAACAAAGCACGCAAGACGCTAACAGTAGTAACAAAAGAACAACAAGAACTGGATTTGGCTCTAGTTGTCTATGAATTGTAATTCCCCGCCGGTTACATTCATTAAACCCGAGTAGCATCAAACCAGGACTGGATTTGGTTCGTTAAATACTAGTAAGAAAGCCAAAACCGAAAAGAGATATCTAAGTCCAAGCAGATCTAAATAGATTATAGCTACACGGGTTTCGTTTTCTTCATAAGAAAGGAGGTAGATGCGAAATGTGTACAATGACCCGCCCACACGTCTCGGTGGGATACTGACCTAATAGTATATATTTTTACGGAAGTGGAACCTTAAATATTGAATTTGGAAAACGGCCAGAAAAGAATAAATTTTAATATAAGACACTAAGTAAGATACTAATGAACCTAACTCCGCAGCAGAATCATTTCTAAGTTACATTAAAGTAGACCGATTAAAGATGATGAGTAATATAATATTTTAGATAACAAAAGATCCATTGTAAAAGCTACTAAGAAAACAAGGTAAAGGTTGAGAATAGCAGTAACTCTGCATGATAGAACTCTTTAGACGGTGAAAGTGCCCGGAAAAACATTGGACTCAGAGTTTGAAAGCAAAAATTTATTAGCTGTTCTGTCAAAATAGTTACGATCGATTTACAAATCATATAATCTTCCGATCAACAGAGTTATCAAAATCTGCGGAGAAATATGCTCCTAATTGCAGTAAAGTTGTCGTATGAAAAGAAAAAAAGCAAAAAATAAATAAATAAATAAATAAATAAAGATGGAAAAACTCAAATAGGAATTTATTTATGATACTAACCTCTGGTTGTTTGCCCGGCAGCCGAACAATTTTGACAAAAAAATTATTTCAAACTTGTTGAGAGTTGCAGAATTATATTCTAACACCGTACGTTTACGCTAATATTTTCCTTTGTTCTATGAAAACGTCAGTGCAATAAAGTAAACAAGATACTCGTGAAATGTAGGGAGGCGAATACTCACAAGTGTTTTAGTTCCGCGTGCTTGTTACTCATTTCAAAATCTGTTTTACTTGGAACGTTTTCTAAAAATTCAAGGTTTTTTTTTTTTGTTAAGGAGCTAGAAAGTTTGTGAAATGTTTCTCTTTAACTATATCCATTCGGAGATAAATTAAATTGATGAGACCTCCTATGGAAAAATATTAAGAAAATGTTGTTTATTATAACAAAAGTGTTTGCTGTGGCTGGCGCCATCAAAGTTAAGGATAATGAGCAGGAGTCTTTTGAGCCGCTTTCAAGTTTAAAACCTAAAGGCTCAACTTGAGATACGCCGCTGTGATCTTGATTTCTAAGTTCAGTTTTTTTTAGACCTGTTTTAGCTAGGTTTCTTAAATAAACTATATTTTGTGTCTTAGACTCTCTTTGGCTTGCCTTAGTTTGTTGGTTTATTTTTCAATGATTTCTTCTTGGTTTGTTTGTCATTAATTTTTAATTTAATGCTTTTGTACGCTTTTTTGTCTCCTTATTTCAGCAGCAAATTTATTCAAACTCCACATAATGTCACAATGGTCTCATCTCATCCCTCTTAAATTCTTAAATTCTCAGGCACACTGAAGCAAACAATAAAAACCTGCATAACAGAACCTAAGTTTTTTTTCAAGTTAGCCTCTCCCGGTTCTTGTTTAAATGGTGTTTACAGTGAAGTTAAGCACCTAGATTCTAAATTGGGTTCTTAACTTTAGTTTGGAAAAAAAACCCTTCTATTCGTGGTTGGGGATTTGACACTTCGCTGTATACCAGCCTGCCAGGTGCCTTGCTTTACATGGTTAACTTTTACACTTAGTTGGATATCAAAGACCTACTTTGCTTTTTGGATATTAAGTAAACTACTCTATCATCAGTAGGGTATTGCTATTTTGTATCACTGCCAGTGTTCTGGCTAGTTTTTATTTCCCATTTTGTATCGCATGGGATGTATTGTACTATACTTGGAAAAAGTGCTTAACTAGGATATTTTTAGCCTAACAGGTTCTTGACTTTAGGTTGTTATACGCGAGTTTATTAGGTAAAATGAAGAGAGGCAGTACAGAGAATGAGTTCTTAGGAGTAATCGGGTTTAACAGCCTTATCACTACTCCAAAACCCAACAACACCTGCATGCTGTCAGCACAAAACGATCGGATGAAGGAAAAAAAGCTATTACAGATCACATTCGATGGTTACAAAATCAATCTGTGGTGCAGTAACGCAGATGGCATCGTTGTTATAGGGGTGTTCCATTGATGAAATAAACAAAGCATTTACCGCAGTACCTAACCTCAATATTGATTTTCCACGTACAATAAGAACCTGGAAAGGGAAAGCGAACCTGTCGGGTGGCTATACCATCCGCCACGGTGGGGTGTGTTCTATTCAAATACCCAGAGGAGTGGGCTCCACATCTACATTTAGGAACACGTGACAAGGACAGTTCCGATCCTGTGTCTCCAAGAAAACGGAACCAGGTAGGACCAAGATCTCGATCGCAAAGAGAGGGGGTGCTAGTCGTTAGTTTCCGAAGTGTCACCACTTTTTAAATCTTGTCAGTGTATACATTCTAACCAAGTGTCACGAGTAAGAACGAAAAAGAGAAAGAAATAAGAAAAACTTAGCCATGATTCAGGTTGCCAAAATGTTAGTGCCAAAATGTCCTCGGTTCTGTCATCGTGCAATTTCCAATTGTTTCGAGACTAGAGTTTTAAGGAATTGGGTTATGTTTTCCTTTTGTTTGTTTTTCAAGAGGGACCCGCTGTGCTCTCAGCCAACTGGAAAGCGCTGTAGACGTACTAACTCTCATTTTCCTCTTGAGGAGAAGGAACCTACAATGAAGAGGGTCACAAGAATTTCATACTTTACCAAGTTTCTATGTCGTTATTATAGATAGAAAGGGGGGACGAGATTGCACCTAAGGACAACGCCCCTTCTCCCTCTCGGATTTACAAGAGTAGCTCTATAGCTAATTTCTCCGAGAAAGAGAAAGAAAATTAAGTAAACAATTAAATAAATAAGAAAAAAAAATAAATAAAAACAAATAGTGTCGTATATTATATACAGTACATTACACTACACTACTATTTACATTTTACAAATCCCTCAAAAACACGTTTTGTTTTCCTAAGTAAAAATATTTAAAAATTAACGAAAATATACTAATCATCAGTACCCTATAATTTTCAAATTGTAACCCTAGATTTCGCTTCTAGAGGTAAATTATGAGGAGAAAATAGATACATGAAAAGGTGACACTTTGAAACCCTTAATAGCTTCCCGATCACTGTATTTAAATTTTTTCCGCTCAATTTATATATTTTTCACAATTTTCATAGCACATTAGATTGAAGAGTACCTTGAAATTATAACATAGAGATAAAAATTATAATAATGATAACGATGATTATGACATTATTCATATATATTAGTGATAAAAAAAATTTTATATGGATTGCAACTGAGCATCGTAAAAGCCACAATGGACGATCTTCTGGTGTTTTTATCAGCCCTAAAGTGATGCATTGCTTTTATTCTTATTTGCAACGAAAATTCTAATTTAGTTTCGATCGGACCTAGATTTACAGCCAGTCTTCTCCGCTAGATCGTAGGACCTTAATAGCAACTTATCTTTAAGAGACAATAACGATATAATTAGTTCAGAATGTCTCTCTGTAATTCAGCTACCCAGCTTCACCTCTATTAAACAGCAAGAACTGTGAAACGGGAGCTAAAACGTAACCTCTTTTCTGGAATTTTTCTTTTCATGCATTCATTGAATTTGCGGATGATCAGAGCTACTATAGCCAACCATGTCTAAATCACACTTTCTAGTACAGCTATTTGTTCTAATTATTTTACTTACTTGGATATTTTGATTGTTGTTGTCGTGATGAAAATGGAGATCACAAACACGAGGGTGCCCGTGACTCTTTTGCTCCTAAGATCAGATTGTTAATACTCCCTCTCTAATGCTAATCATTTCATAATATGTATTAGCTGTACGAACTTTGCGTTTATCAATCAAGACAACAACTTTAATTCCACTCTGCTTGATAATGTATGGATATTCTAGGAAAAAGTTACTTGTTGATCACTTCTAGGAGTTAACTGTGAATGCATTTGAGATATAGTGATACAGTTCTGCTGAACTCATTTTAATCAATTGATCTTTAGATATACTCACAGTAATGTTATCACAACCTGACCATGTCCAGCAACTTGATAACAACACTCGTTCTTCTGATCCCTTCCCGCGTTGAAAGAGCCACCCCCTCCCCCACAGGAATCATTTTTGCAGGCTCCGGCTCCTCCACCGGAATAACCACCTCCACCCCCTCCACCATAAGCTCCTCCTCCTCCCCCAAATCCACCGTTGTCTTTAGAACCGCTCTTACCTTTCCCCCCCACCCCTCCCTGAAGAAATCCTCTGCCACCGCCTGCTGTTTTATCCGTTCCGTTGGAAAAAAAGCCTCCACCACTACCCCCTAAAAAAATGAAAAGTGGATTCAAATAAAACATAAAAAAATGAATTGAATAATTTACTGAATAAATCGCATTATGGTTGGCCAATTTGCCGTTGTCGATTAGAGTACAGACAAAACTGTTCGCGTCGACGTGTCACGTAACGCGTCACTCACTAAAAGAATAATTTTATTTGACGTCAGTTATTGAGGCAAAAGAAACAATCTGAACGAAAAAAACGCTATTTTGACTAGTATGACGCGGAATCTCGTTGTCGTTAAGACAAAAAAACAAGACAAACTACTGTCAATTAGTTAAGTAGTTTTACATATTGTTCGTTCCAGACCCCCTTACAGACCTCCTTCTGGCTCGTTCCGGCAAGCCTGGTGAAGCGCACGAGATAAGAGCTCGCTCGTAGGTCTGACATGGGCAAGTCACTCACCCGCGCTTTTGACTTTACCACCCTGTCCACCAAGGCCGCCAACTCCGCCCGACCCAGCTGATCTATACCCAGGATTTCCCCTTGTGTTTGTGCTGGCGTCACATTCTGCATGGCGTTTTGTCAAATAAAACAAACCTCCCCCACCTCCAGCTAATATCAAAGGTGTGTTGTTATTTTTCGCAAGGAATGTACCTCCACCACCACCAGAGCTCCAGTCATATTTGTCAGATTCCCCTTCCTGTCCCACAAGGATACGAATAATCTCGTCTTTCATTAGGTTCAACGTTCCAGTCATTCTCGCTCCTCTTCCTCGATGCTGAGTGCTGTTAGGGTACGAATCGTACCCCCCTGCTGCTCCTATTGCTACTATCCTGTAGTCACCCGTATACGGCACAGTCCAGAATTGAATACCGTTGGACAGTGTAACCTGTCCGTCTTGATTTTGACCTGTGTAGTGACCGCCCAAGGTTGTTGGACCATGTCTTCCGGTGGCACCGAGATTTGAGAAGATCGCATTGAATGCTGGTAAAAATATAATAATGATAAATCCGATACAATAAAAAAAATGCCAACCTTGATGTTTGCTAATTTGTAGACTGATAAGAAAACATTTAACGCTCCGTTAAGGTTGTCGACATGTCGTTCTTTTGTCACCTAGACGACAAGATGGTAGGATCACTTGCTAAAAAGATGTTAGGAATCATTTAGGGAAAAAAGATGAGTCATAGATCCCGAAGGTAACTATGAATTGATCACGCTTCCAAACCTTAACTAAAGATTGTAATTACAATTTTCCTCACTTTTTTCGCAGTTTTCTCCTACTGCTTTAGGTGGACACAGGCAAATATATCTCTTGTCTGTGAATCCATTCAGGCAAGTTGCACCGTGGCCACACGGGTTGCTGGAACATGGATTCTAGTCAAGACACCATAAGAACCATTTTTTATTTTCCAATTTGAACACAAACGTTCTCTCATATTTTCCTTCATCTCTTTTCATTTATTTACACAGGTAAGATAATGTCACCTGGGTAGCCCAGTAAAGGAATCCTTCTTGTGGCATACGATCTTTGGGATGTTGGATATGGTCAGAATCACTCAATTGACAGACTCTGAGTCCATTCTTGTCGGGTGGCCCGATGTTCACAGATACACAGGCTCTTTCCATCAGGCACTCGTATCTACAGTCATTTCCCATTTTGAGTGTTAAATTACACAGCAAATGACCTTGAAGGGCGAATCCATTGTCTGGTCGTCCGAACCGTAGACTTCGGCACCCGAGTCCTAAAAAGAGGGATAAAATGAAAAACAAAAATAATGATAATAATAATAACAATAATAATTATAACAATTTAAATACAATCAAACTTTATTAACACTCAAAGCAAATAACTATTTACAAGTTAAAAATAAAAACGACCTAATAGTAGTTACGATTTCAATTAAAATCCTATTTACAATCTAATCCTTTTCATATTCATCAATATTATTATTGTTGAAGCTAAATTAAAACTGCGTCTTTATTGTTCAAGAGATAAAATTACACTAGCCCTAAAATATAATTATAAATAACAATAATAATAATAATAATAATAATAAATGAATGAATAGATGTAGGAGTGAGTAAATAAGTAAATGACGCAGAAAACAGGTATTGAAGTAATGAAGGAATCGAGAAACCAGAACATGGATAAATGCAAAAGAGAAAGAACGAAATTTATCCTGAAGAGTTTCGGGACTTATCAAATTGACTCCCAATGTACCAAATTAACCATGGCTTTGTTTAACATGACAAATTTTTTTCTTCATCATCACAATTTATTATTATTTATTTATTACCATTATCACCACACGCAGCGACGATATATCATGTTTTGGAAAAGGAAATAACCAAGATAATTTGTCGATATCTAGATGATCGATAAGGTATTTTATTTGAATTAGCCACAACTTCTAATTCCTGATCGAAAAACAAAAGTACAATGTAAACCAGCAATATGTCGAAATCGTACATCTAACCTCTCAAGTGAAAACTCGGACCGGCCGACTTACACTCTTTGCTCCAACAACGATTGATTTTGGAGCCAAGTTGATTTTCATAGTACATCTATAGTAGTTCACCGATAGCTAAATGCAAGCTTAGATGTATTGATTGCCGTAGTGTGGTGTCAAGTTACTTACATGCTTCTAAAAGCTGGTCTGGCCCTTCTAGCGAAAAAATATCACGTAAACCAACCCTTACCGATTTTGTCTTTATTTATTGGAAAAAATAGTAAAGTCTGACCATAGTAATAACAATAATGATGATGACGAAGGTGCTGATAGATTGATAACAAAAATGATAAAAATAAGCACAAAAAGAAAATGCTTCACCATATTACAGCATTTTCTTTGTAAAATTTTGGTCAGCCAAAAGTTTCTTGTAAAAAGATAGGCTAACCCAAAGATTGTAATATTCAATCTAACTGGGGGGCCCAGCAAAAATCTTCTCGATCCAGAATTATTCTGCTTCGACAAAAAGAGACATGTGATGCGCTGTAGTAAGCTCAAAATAATAAACATTAATTTGGTTTTATCATTTTTAGCTGATACGCAAACTGGCCATCGAAAGGAGTTTTAAGCTGACGTTTAGAGTATCTTTTGCACTGACGAATGGCGTGATATCTTCGATCTCATCAGTAAAAAGGGTTTTTACCACAAGCTCTGTGCGGTCCAACAACGTTGCTTCGTCAGAGGTGCCTCGAACGAGCTGCAAGACTTTTGTTGATCGAGCATTTGCCTTTGCTGGTCCGTCTTATTTATTGGAACAAGCTTCCAATGTTGATAAGATTGGCTCCCAACTTGGTTACTTTTCAGAACCAGTTTACGACATGCTAATCCAAAAAGCCTATAACTTTTAGCCCTATTTTACATTTTAAATTCTAAGAGTCTAACTTTCTCTTTGTTTAAAATGGTAAAGCGCTATTGAATAATTTATTTCAAAAAAGGCGCAATGTAAATTCATCGTTATTATTACCAACCAATTTATCTTGGAAACCCCCCTGCCGACGTAAGACCGCAGTTTCTTGAGAATTTGCCCCCTTTTTTTCAAATACATGCTGTTTGACCAAACGTCTCAAAATGTAGATGTACACGGGTGCGTAAAAATTCTTCACAATATTTACCTTGTTGAACCGATGTGCATTGAACCAACCGATGTAAACATTATGGAGGACTCGATATGCACCCAAGGAAATATTCTGTTATAGAGGTCTCTCAGATGTCCATTTCATTAGACCAAGAAAATGTATCGTATGAATGCATTTGCCACACTCAGACGGACTATCCCGGTTCAGCTCAAAGCTGGTCGGGCCAAGGCCAGACCAAGAAACTGGGAGCTACGTTCCCCACGATCCTCGCCCGAAAGACTAGAATGTCTAACCGGCATATGCAGATGTCTTAAGGCCCTGAGTATTGGTCCGGTGTGGGGCTTGATCATGTACCCGCACGGCAGTCCAGCGCTCTACAACGGGAGTTAAGCGCGGGCTTTCAACCGTTTTGAAAGCTTGTTTGACAGGCTGACGCACAAGATATGTCAGAGAACCACTTCTCTTTCTTTGTTCTTGTCACGCCTTGTGAGAAATGGACAAGTAGTTGGTTCATTAATAATTTACTAGACGCTTTGGTGCCAATATCCCTGAGCACTTCTACTTGTTGTTTGTAGTTTGACTCGCTCTCCAGGCTCATAAAAGTACGGCGCAACTTGTAAAAATGCTCTCTAATACTACACAACAAAGCGCCTAATAAAATATATCCATCAACCATGTATAAGGTAACAACAATATGAACAACAAAATGGAAGTATTCTGATGGTCAAGTTTAACTAATTGATAGCTGGTGTGAGCATATTTTCGACAACCTCGACTCCTTAAAACGATATGTAATCATTCTTCGATGTCGGACCGGACGGGAAATTATTTGGCTCGGAGTTAAAATACAAACATCATTTACCAAGTATCATATTTCAAACCACCCATCCAAAGGAAATAACTCTTGCATGCGTAACATGCCTATGTTTAACTTATCGCTGCTCCTACACATTTTACTGTTGGCTGCCGTAAGAGACGGTTAACACATTTAGCCATTCGCAAAATTATGACTGACAATAACAATTCTTTTTTTTAGTTGCCGTCTTCCTCAGTGACGTTACCTTCCTGACTTCGATAATAATGAGATCAAACACAGCGAGCTACGTGTGTAAAGTCAAACACTCTCGCGTCCGGCGTGATCCTACTCGGTCAATCCTTTTTTCTCCTTCGTTTCTCCTTAAAGATTCAAGCTCGGTGTCCATGAGGCTCCCTCTGACCTTGACCACACCACCTCCCCCCCCCCCCTCCGGTAGATTTTTATTTTTGACAGATGAGGCATCTGAGTATCTCAAAGTTTAATTTTGCATGTACTGAAATTTCCCACTTTCCAAGAATTACAAGTTATCCAGTCGAACAACATCAGATTCAACTTTTCCTTACCCGTCAAATTAGAGCCGTATTGGTTAACGTTTCCAAGGATATTTATCATTTTTCCAGGCCGACAAATCACCTGCATCTTTGATAAGAAGATTTCCTTGACTATGCTTTCGGTATCTATGTACGATTAGTACTTTGGACGCTATACTGCTGAACTGTAAGATACTCTTGGCAGGCTGTTTAAGTAGTCTATCACAAACTTTCTCCAAACGGCTAGGATACGAATGTAGATATGTGACTGAGTTTCGTCGTGGTTGTTTAGATGTGTCAGCAGGCTTAGAGGAAAAAAACATTGCTCAGATAGAATAAAATGAGCACTTATATCACCAGGCTCTCTATCTACACATGATTCTCGGACATTCTTTCAGCTAAAGTCTTCTTTCAGGTTAACACTGAATCTAGCAACGGGGAGGGAAAATTTAAAACAACACGCAATTTGAATAGGAAAACGAGTTTGCAGTTTCAATAAGGAGACACCTATAAATCTAGATCTGACACATATAATCATCCCTCTGAGTATAACTGAAAAGAATGGATTTTTGACTATGATATCGATAATGATAAGGATTATAATCTAAGTTATCTAGTGCATTATCCTACTCCATTTTGATAACCTGTGAAACAACTTACAACCCTTTGCAGAGAACTTTAGCAAAACTGCATGGAGTAGTTCACAATTTTTTTTAATTAAACGAAAATTTTCAGGTGCTTCCATTTTTTTCGAATATTTGGGAAGAAGGCCAAATCAGAACACCGAGCGTTCCCTATACTCTTTGCGAGAAGAGTGAGGATTCTTTAACATTCCCTGTTAACCAGTACAGAGAAGGTGAAGGAGACGAGGTGTCACGCAATGCAGGGCTTAATTATCTTCCTCTTCCGAGAGAACTAGAAAGTCTAACCATTGGTAGATGTCATAGCAAAGGAAGTACATTCTCCTGACTTATTTTAAGACCTTGAGTGTTGGTCCAGCTTGGTTGTTGAAGCCTCGACCTCGTACATGACAGTCCTGCGCTCTACAACTTAACCATGTGGCGGTTTACAGTCAAACAAGTGAAGCGTACCCGTCAGGATTACATTAATGATTTCATTATTTGTATATTGAACCCGCTAATCGTTTCAGGAACGCAATAACGAATTGAATATTTGAACATGGAACCCGCTAACCGTTTCAAGAATGCAATAATAGTTGATTATTTGAATATTGAACCCGATAGCCGTATTCGTTTTGAAAAGGCGTGGATCATTGTTCAAATCGGAAGTCCATTTCTGAGTGGATTATGCGAACAAGTAATGATGGATCGGAACTATTTCAACATGGCGTCAGACATGGCGGGAAAGGTGAGTTCGAGTGTTATGTAGAACTTCTGGTAAATGTTGTAAATGGAATGTTATCGAGAGCTTTTTTCCCCTATTTACATCTTGACGAACTTGTAGAAATTCTTTTGTTTATTCATGGTCGAAAAAAATAGTTTACGGGCGAAGCAATCGCAAGACTTGTTTTATTTCGGTTTGCGATCGACTGTTTTCGCAGTGTTTTTACAGTGCAGTTTGTTCATTTTCAGGATTCCTCGTCAAATAGAACAATCTTATTGGACTTCAGAAATGGACTTCTAATTTGAACAATGATCCGCGCCTTTTCAAAACGGATACGGGTTCAATATTCAAATAATCAATCCATTATTGCATTCTTGAAACGGTTAGCGGGTTCCATGTTCAAATATTCAATTCGTTATTGCGTTCCTGAAACGATTAGCGGGTTCAATATACAAATAATGAAATCATTAATGTAATCCTGACGGGTACGCTTCACTTGTTTGACTGTAAACCGCCACATGGTTAAGTTGTAGAGCGCAGGACTGTCATG